TCAAACCCGCTCTCCTCTGTACTGTCAAGTACCTGTGGACAAGCGTCTTCATTGTTGAGACAGAATTCAGATAAAGTTTGCCCCTTTCCAGTGTATAATCCAGCGGGGTTTTTTGTTTTTGTTTTTTAAATATTTTTTTATTGATTTCAGAGAGGAAGGGAGAGAGAGAGAGAGAGAAACATCAATGATGAGAGAGAATCATGGATTGGCTGCCTCCTGCATGCGCCCTACTGGGGGGGGATCAAGGCCGCAACCCAGCATGTGCCCTTGGCCAGACTTGAACCAGGGACCCTTCAGTCCGCAGGCCGACGCTGTATCCACTGAGCCAAAACGGCTAGGGCCAATCCAGCGGTTTTTAGAATATTCATAAGATTGTGCAAACATCCCCATTATGCCGTCCTAGACATTTGCATCAGCCCGGAAAGAAGCCCCGTCCCCGAGAGCTGCCACTCCCACTCCAGTCCCCAGCCCCTGGCAGCCACCAGTCCACTTCCTGTCTGGACATTGCTTAGGAATGAGGTCAGCTGGCCAGTGGGGCTCAGTGGTTGAACGTTGACCTATGAACCAGGAGGTCACAGTTCGATTCCCGGTCAAGGGCACATGCCCGGGTTGTGGGCTCGATCCCCAGTGTGGGGTGTGCAGGAGGCAGCCGATCCATGATTCTCTCTCATCATTGATGTTCCTCTCTCTCTCTCTCTCTCTCTCTCTCCCTCCCTCCCTTACTCTCTTAAATCAATAAAAACATTTTTTTAAAAAGTTGCACCCTAGCTGGTTTGGCTCAGTAGATAGAGCGTCATGACACCTGCGGACTGAAGGTTCCCGGGTTCGATTCCAGTCAAGGGCACGTACCTTGGTTGCAGGCTCCTGGCTCTGGTCAGAGGCATGCGGGAGGCCACCAATTGATGTGTCTCTCTCACATCGGTGTTTCTCTGTTTCTCTCTCTCCTTTCCACTCTCTCTCAAAATCAATGGAAAAAAAAATCCTCAGGTGAGGATTAAAAAAACAACAACGTTGCCCTGCTAAAGCACATTGAAATAAAGTAGCAAAGTAAACATGGCAACATGGAGTCCCGGGTGATTTCCTGGCACGTAGTACGTGCTCAATAAATGGAACCTCAGGGTCTTGTTAAAGGAAGAGCTGGCCTGTGTCTCTGGTGCTGGGATGGGGTCCACTGGGAGGGACCCCCGTCTGTTCTGTCCTGGCTTCCCTGGCCACCCCATGAACCCCTGCACACACGCATGCACACATGCACACACGCACAGCAGCTAACGGCCTGCAGCACAGGAAAGTACAGTGGCCGCGTTCCCGGCGCCCACATGCAGCGGATGGGCTTCTGGCGTAAATAACAACCAACGCCCGAGCTGCTTTCCAAGGGGAGGATTAGCCTAAAGCTGAGACAAGAGCATGAGGTGTGCCTTGGCCCGAGCGCGCCCCTGGGGCTCCCCACATGGCTGCCACCGCAGCTCCGTGGGGGGCCGCTGATTCCGCCAGCCCGCGGGGATCTGTGCGCGGTGTCAGCAAAGGCTGTTACGACATTATTAACGCTCCGCACGCCAGCAAAGGATGTGGCCTGTCGCCTCTTAATGTGTGTCCGCTGCCGAGGTGACAGCAGTCACGGCTGGTTTCTTTCTTGCCTCTTCCCTCCCCAGGAGCAACCCTGACGCCTGGGGAAGGCGGAGGCCGCAGCCAGGGCTCCTGTGAGGGGAGACTGAGGGGCCAGGAGTCCACAGGGAGACCCCAGAGCACACCCAGAGTGCTGACCTCCCCCCGGGGGCAGGGGGGTGCCTGTGGGTGGAAGGGG